AATGCGTCCGCAGCGCGCCAGTAGACCCGAACATTTTTTGCGTTGCCTTACACATAAAAGAATGATTCTCGCTCTCTTCCTCACAGCGAGGAATACAACTTATTAATATTTTACTGGTATTGGATCAGTATCAGGACTGAAAAAGTCAGATCGGCACATCCGTGGTTCAATGATATGTCACGCTGAAGATTGAGGAAATGTTTTTAAAATTATGCTTAAGCTAACTAGAATCTCTCTTTGATCGACAAAAAACAGGGTTTCTGCAGGTAGTCAAATTTAAGAGTTTTTTTAAGACCACTATGAATGAAATTTAAGCCCTATCAAAAAAAGAAACATACATAGGAAATGCAGTCACAAAATGACTTGCAGAGTAAATAAATGTATTTAAATTAGGGTTGAGTGATGTCAAATACCAAATTGGCAATGGACGATGTCAACAATGAAACACCGGGATGGACGATGACATTGATAAGCTATGTAATTAACAAGCTGGTATGCGGTGCACCTGCTGCCGTGAAAATATCCAGAAAAAAGACGAGTTCTGTGTCTTTTCAGCAACTTTATATAACATAACATACTGCTGATGAAGAAATTCAGGGGAGCAGACAGGGAGACTGAGAGAAGGGGGAGTGCAGGGAGAAGTCGGGCAAGTGCAAAACAGCCCTACAATTTACAAATATTAATAAAAATAATGTCCATGGGGATTTAAAAATGCTTTCACGGGGCGGTATAATGTAAAAATTAAGATCTGGTGGTCATCCCCCAAGAAGATTTTTATGTTTTCCAATAAAGAAATATGCAATTCCACATAATTTTGGAACATTGTTATTACCACATCTGTGACTAATAAGTAGGAAAATCTAGAAAATCTAGAGCAGCATTTTGAATAAACTACACCCCAAAAGCTAAACTTAAATAAGTCTACTGGGTTTGAATTATAACCAGATGTGGGAAAATTCCTGAGATTAGTTTTGATGCTCTCCACAATGATTTTACATTAATGGCTCAGTACCAAGCTGTTTTGAGCCTCACCACCTTATAATAGCAGGAAAACACAATTAATATGACCTCAGAATTATTACAGATTGGACTGTTCATATTTGCCTTTTGTGTCTTAATTTACTGCTTTATAGATTTGTAGAAATTAGCATAAAAATAGGCAACACGAGAACCACACCCCTTCTGAATAATTACAAGCATTTCATTTGTACATCAAAAAAGAATAATCTGCTTATTAGCTGAAAGGGACTACCGTTAGTTTGTACCCCTAATTTGCTTTAACCTCGGCTCCTCCGTGGTCAACACCATCCTTTCTTTGAACTATGAAAATGTAACTTACAGTATGTGTAGGCTACAGGACAGAACTGTGACCTGACAAGTTAACGCTGATCTTATCCTCCGCTAACTTTCACCGTCACTTTCTGCGTCTCTCTCTCATATTTGCTCGTCCTTTGAACAATGAGTAGTGGGAGACAACCGTGCGTTCAGTGTTACCATAGCTTACTGAAAATCATTAATGATCGTGTGAAATTTTAGTAGCGGTGCTCATTCATTAAGTAGTGACAGCAGGCTTTAAATAGGCTGCGTTGCTAGCGACTAGTTTTAACCATAGACTGTAGGCTAGGCTATATAAAAAGGTTTTAACCAAGCCCAAATCTATTTCTTTCAGGCAAGAGTCGGTGAGGTTGGACTTTTGCACAGCTGAATCTTCACTCCTGATAGGCTATATAGGCTTTTGTAGAAGGTGACATTACACATACCATAAAACTTTGATTAATAGCCCGGGCTTTTATTTGCAAAAATCACCGAATTGACCCTGCCTTTGTTTGGGCAGGCGTCCATATGGTACAGGTCTTTAATTCCTCTTGCACAAAACTGAAATAGGCTACTATTAAACATCCATCCATCCATTGTCAACCGCTTATCCTGCATACAGGGTCGCAGGGGTCATGAGCCAATGCCAGCTTACATCGTGTGAAAGGTGGGGTACACCCTGGACAGGTTGCCAGTCCAACGCAGGGCTACTATTAAACAGTGTATTTATTTCAAACAGTATGTTACTTGTATAAAAATTATCCAATAATATCAAATACACGTCATTCATTTCATCCAGCTCTGACAGACAGCTTCTCTCTCCATTTCTTCAGATCAGGGCATCTTTGGGGGTGACGTTGTTTTTTTTTTTAAATTTTCATCTCTTGTACCATGCAGGTTACATTGGTAAGTCGAAATTAGACTTTGGGTCTTGTTGTTTTCCGTTAAATGAACTGAACGATTGAATTGTGGAGAATCTAACCGATCTAACAATGTGTAGCATGTCCATATTGATATATTGATCATACGTTTAAACATTAATATTTGTATTAACAATCTAAGAAGCTTAGAAGCAGCTAAAGCGGGCAACCTGGTGGGGTTTAAGAGGTTTTATACAAAGAATTTATATAAAAACCAGACCAGGCGTTTAATGGAGACCTGCGTTTATTTGTCAAAATGTGTTCCCACACCAGGCCAGTAAATAGGGTAGGCGGCTATTTGGGACTCAGCTGTTAATTGAAGTTTTATGGTATGTCTCCAATGCTTGACAATTCCTTTGATTTCTATGTTCCTTTCTCTGATGTTCTCCCGGAGTTCCAGATTTTTTACCACCACATGATGAAGTATCAAAATCTGCCCATCCGCTATTAGAAATAGTATCACTGCTGTTTGTTATTGAGTTTTTTTTAATGACGTTCTTATTCTACATATTTGTGAGTTGTGTACAAACAGAGTGACAGAGAGGCACAGACACAGACAGGCAGGAGAGAAGATAATGGTTCTTTTAACTTCATCGCCCTCTTATCTGGGAAGATGTAAAAAGCTTAATTTATGAGGTTATTATAAAGATATAAACTCTAACGTTACATGTGATTAGAACAGAGCAGAGGAGCAGAATCGCTTAGAAAGTAACCTGGCTGAGGGGGAAGAGGAGGTAAAATGCTGCCTCCCATTGTTTGGGGTATGTGGCCCGGAATTCCACATTGTACCTTTAAGCAAGATTTTCAACTTCACTTGGAGCATTAAATGGAGTATCTTTACATTATATTCCTTAACTCCTTAACTTAACGATACTTTATCAACTTAATGCAAATTTGCGTATGGAACTATGTCGATTTGCAGTCCCTTGAAATGAAACATTACTCTTGTCAGTCATGATCTTGACCATGATGACAACTATTTGGGAGAATGCCAGGTGCAATTAATCTGGCACAACGATTGGTCAAACTCGTCTTCTTTAGCTTTCGGCACAGTTCAAGTCTCCAGCTGTTAGACTTGGGTACTGCACGTGCACAATTGAACTCACTGTTGTCAGCAGCATTTTGGGTAGTTTAGAGTGACAAATTGTACCAGTACTTTGATTTCATGCTTCCACAGAGGTTGGCAGGTCTGCAAGGTATCTCTGACACTTGAACATCATGTAGAAAATCCATGATATGTTTGGTTACTTTAAAATAAGAGCATTTTTGTTTTTCTCTTTCTAGATGCCCCAGTAATCCTACCTGAGTCCTTCTGCCACCTTGGGGGAAGTACTAAAGTGTGTCTGCCAAGCTGCATCACCTAATGCCTCTATAGGCTGGACCATTGAAGGAAATGACACCTTTCCATCCTTTTAGCTTTGTCTCCAGAAATAAGAAAAATGTAGTCTCAGGGGAAATAAGCGGACCAACTAAAAGCCAGCCAAATTTTATGTAGACATCTTGTCAAAAACATGTACCTGTACACTTACGGTAAATCCCAAGCTACATTATTCACAACTAATTAAGCTATTTTCCTTTTACAGAGGCTCCTGGGGAAATTTCTCAAGAGGCAAGACTATTGTCATACAGAACGACTGTGCTGCTCAATTAATCATTGTTGTACAAACCATTTGTGCTTTATAAGGTATGTTTAAGTTGACAATGAATTTATTTTGAATTCAGATTTGTAGAATGAGGAAAAGTGAGTCAGTATTTCAGTGACATATGAGTTGCCTATTTAGTTTTTTTCTCTGCCCTTAAACCTCAAGCATACAAAAGTCATAGAAGTCATAGTTTGTCAGAATGGTCTGTGTATTGATGTGCACAATGAAACACACCTAAATTAAAGGAGATATTGAAAGCATCTAATTGGATCCATCCCCCCTCTCTCTTTTTCTTAGATCACAAGATGAAGACACACAATCAAGCCCATGCAGACCAGAGAGTAACCCTGAGGTGGACAGTCTTTGTGTTTATGACAATGATTTTGTGGAAGAAATGCGCAGACAGACCAGAGCTCAACCAAACCAGAACACCGAAGCAGCCCGCCAAAGAGACGGCGAAATACAGCCACTGGCAAAGGTGCAGCGATTGTGACAAATGCAAAGAATTATGTGGTTCACAACAGACCATCACTTATTACATGCATAAAACACCTGTAAAAATACTACACATGGATCAGAATAGAAGCCAGCAAAAACCAAATTCATCAAATCCAATCAGAAATGATCAGAAATCAGTAGTTTATGGCTTTTTGTAACTGGTGCCGTTGATGTTTCTGCCTCAACACACTGAGCGTAACTTTCAAGTCATTCGATTTTCTTTCTCCTGCTGCTTGTGTTGCTCAAGTAATTGAGAAATATTAAAACTATACTTTTAACGTCCCACGGGGAGTTCCTTGCAACATAGATGACTATCAAAATTTCAGATCAGCGAATATCTGCTGCTGGTCTCACATAGTAAGGTCCCCACTTTAGTGCATTGATTAAAAAATTATTTGGTTAAAATAATTGATGTACACACTTTGTTTTTATACATTTCCTTCAGATTTGAGTATGGCTAGTTGTATAGATATTTAGACTTGAAGTGTCATTTATACTGACAGGTTTTGTAAAAGAACTTGAATTACACACAGTAGCCAGTATGTCCATGTTTATTTCATGTTGCAGTATTAACTGATTCTAATGTAAATATCGTTAATATATATATATAGCAGCTAACCATAACACCATCCTGTTGCTGAAACCACAAATGTGAAATCTCAATTTTGTTTCTAGTAATGATGCCACACTGGACTGGAAATGTCTATTTTAAAAATAATTTAGAATCTGAAATGATGACTTATTTCCTGAGCTTGGGGTGTAGGTGTAATGTAAGATGACTGCAGGGTCATGGCTTGATTACATTCTGACCTAATGATCATGATCAGAGTTTATTGCAACACAGCTCTGATGGGAGGAGGTCTGTTATTAACACACTCAATAAAACCAGCTTCAGTTTTGCATTTTAGTTAATATTAACCCACTGATGTATGCTCATTTCTCAGTGTAGAATGAGTGGCAGTGTGTCACATAGGGCTTGATTGTGGCTCACTGTTTCCGGTTGATCCTGCCTAATCTTTGAACTCGCAAGTTATGTATTGGTTGTTTTGATGAAAGGCATCGTAAGGCAAACAACAGCAACAAGGAGCTTTTTTTTTTCTTTAAAGCCTGGACAATTTTGACAACATTGACTATTTAGGTAAGTAAATATGTTTATATATTTACAGATCCGTTTTGCTGTTGAAATTCCATGTCTGTTGTTTGGAATCCGAGCTCAAGAGCTGCCTTCGGCTTATTTGTTTTGGAATAGTAATGTGATCTGAGTCATGAAAAGCCATTTTGCTAATTAACTTTATCAGTTCTTCTACAAAATAGAAGGAGGCTGCAAACACAACTGAGTTATTAACAGTATCTACAAGATTGCTGAGCAAAACCTTAAAATGCTGATTTGACTTTTTTAAAATCACTAATGTCTTTGATCAGATACTTTTAAGGCATATTCACATACAGTATGAACAGGTCCGCTAACCTTAATACACCTCTAACTGCACCAACCATTTAAATCACAGGGACTTTAAGAGTATGTGGTTGTTCAAGCGTGTTTAATACTCCCTCATAATCTCCGATCATCATTAGGTGTCAGAAACACACATCATGCATACTGACTTCACTGATTCGTCACCGTTGTCACTGGTATAAAACTATAAAATAATCTGTAATTTACAACCACCTGGTTATGTTATTTTGTAAATTTTGATTCCTCTTCCTTTGGTTTAGATCCACAATGGAGTCAGTGGTACAGAGTGAGCTCATTCTCGCAGTTTACATCATCTCTTTCCTGTTAGGCCTGCCAGCCAACCTGCTGGCTTTCTATGCCTTCTGTGTCAAGATCCATTCCAATCCCCTTCCAACAGATATCCTGCTACTCAATCTGACGGTCTCTGACCTGATCTTCTTGATCATCCTTCCTCTCAAGATGCATGAGGCAGCGTCAGGCATGAAATGGAATTTGCCCGAGTTCCTGTGCTCCATCACCGCCTTCACCTTCTTCTCCACGATCTACACCAGCTCCTTGCTGCTGATGGCAGTGAGTGTGGTTCGCTACATTGCAGTAGCTTTCCCGATCACGTATCATACGCTGTGCAGACCAGTGTACGCGATAGTTATCAGTGTTGTTATTTGGCTAATCTCAGCCGCACACTGCAGCATTACTTTCATTACCCAGCACCATCCATCCCTGTCCGGAAATGACACCACTTACTGCTATGAGAACTTCACAGAGACGCAGTTGAAGGTTCTGCTCCCAGTACGTTTGGAGTTTTTCTTTGTGCTCTGTCTTATTCCACTACTAATTTGTATTTACTGCTACTCACGCTCCATCTTAATCCTGTACAGCCGTGCCAGGATAACTCGAATGCAGAAGCAGAAGGCCATCGGCATGGCCTCGGGGACTTTAGCTGTGTTTCTCATTTGTGTGCTGCCATATAACATTTCTCATTTACTGGGTTACTTCCAGGGTAAAAGCCCACAATGGAGGTACTACACCTTGCTGCTTAGCACCTTCAACACCTGTATTGATCCCATCATCTTCTACTTTTCCTCCTCCTCTTTCCACTGCACTAGTCAAAAGTCAATTTTCAGGAAGCGTGGACACAATGTTTCAGATGCACAAAAGCAGACCACAAGCTCTAGCTAAGAGCAATATACACGCTGACTTTAATACAATATGTACATATCCAGCTTCAACATTATTATTGTACTTTATATTAAGGACATCAGAATGTGTAATGCAGAACAAGCGGCTTTGACAGTCCAGCTCATTTATAAAAAATTGTCTCTCATCCAGGTTTTGCTGTCTACTGGTTAACAAAATATCTTGTTAGAGGTGATCTATTCCTGCTCAAAGGGACTGAGCTGCTTCAATCTCAAACCATTGTAGATCATTTTATGACAAAACCACAATACATGTTTGGTGCAAATGCAAGATTCCAAATTTTATTATTTTACAGTAAATTATCTTGTTTTGAATGGGAATTGATATCCTTTGTACCCTTGAGACAGTATTTCCTGTTTACTTTAACGCGGGCCAGTCACTCTTCTGCACTCATGCATTCTGTAGGCACACATGTAGAATATACCTGCAAAACAAAACATAGGTTAGCTGTAAAGGCCTTTTCTATAGTACACAAACATATCAAGTAAGATAATGGCACAATAACAAAATTGCTTTTGAGTGTAACTCACAATACACATCAGAAACTTTAGTAAATACTGTAAATAAAAACTGTCATAAAAATGAAAGTGTTTGTGTGACAGCATTGTATTTGTGATTTTTAGAATTGTTTTTCCAGATTTGACAGCGCTGTTGTGAGAATTTGGAATATTAACTGTAAAAATTTCAACTGATTTTGTTCACTACCAGCAAGATAATTACATTACATTGAACTCTACTGCTCTCCTTCATTTGAACAAACCTGCAAAGAAGGTCATGAGCAGTGCCACCCAGCCTAGTATGTAGGACCAAGAGAAGCGCCAGTCACCAAAGCGCTTGCCCAGGAAGTTCACCGTCACCCCGGTGTAAATTGCCATTGCAAGCAGAACAAAGAGAGCTGGCATGGTGCACAGAGAGTGAAACATATTAAAATGAATATCTATAATAGTAAAGGTCATCTCACTTGGAAGTCACCTGGTGCACCCACAGAGTTTCTATTGTAGGCCTTGCGAACTTTGTCTGATATTTACATGAAATGCAAATTCACTTAATAGTACATCATTTATGGCAGATGTGATATAAAAAAGATCAGTACAATATTATCTGGTTACTGTATTCATAACTTACTTGAAACAAAGAACATGATCCCAGCAGCAAATGAGCGGTTGAACCTCTCAAAGGCTGAGAAGTGGGCAAAGGAGAGGATTCCTGCAATGATGCCAGCAAAGCATGACATGGCAGAGAGGATCATGAAAGCACGAGTGGCATTCCAATAAGCTGAGAGGAGTAAAACAAGTGAGAGAACATGTTATAAACATAAATGAAAAAATATAATGTTATTTGATATGAATAGGTTCATACTAAAAAGCACTCAATGTAATTTGAAATCTTGCTGGAAATTAATCTATTTCCTAATATTTCTACTGAACTGCACTGCAGGAGTCACACAGCAGCAATCATTAACTCTGCCATGCAGTTTGAAGGCAGACAATCCTTAAACAGTGAAGGTTTTTAAGGGAAATGTGTAGTCTACTGTCTTCAAATGGTCAAGTTGCACAAGAAGCGCATTTTGCGGGATTTAAAGTTTCCATTTAATTCAGAGGAACTTTTCTAAATTTTACATCACAACTGTTTATCTGGTGAAATGAGCAGTTCCCGTTTGATGCAACACTATAACTTCCCACAACTATACTGAGTAGAGAAGCATATTTCCACCTAAGGTGCAAAATTTAGATGATTTAGAAATTTGTATATTTTTGTACCAAAATCTCTTATTTCTCTCTCGGAGAAACAGATCTTTTAAATGAGAACTTTTTATACTAAATCACATAGTGTTGTATCACTTTTACTTAAATAAAAGAGAGGGATCCCTCCTCTGTTCCTGAGGTTTCTTCCCTCCATGTTTTCCTGTTAAAGCAGTGGTTCTCAAACTGGGTGGCATAGTGCTACTGCAGGAGGGGCATGGATGTTGAGCAGACCTAAAGTTGAATGAATGTGATTTATGTGGTGGTATAAAAAAGGGCTCTGATGCAAGTAGGGTTATTTTGCTAACCTGAATCTTTTGTTTTATTTCAATCGCCCCCATTGTTAATGATTGATAAAATGAAATCCACTTTTTGTAGAGTCTGGGGTGTGAACATTTTTCACGCAAATAGTATCACTGCTGTTTGTTATTGAGTTTTTTTTAATGACGTTCTTATTCCACATATTTGTGAGTTGTGTACAAACAGAGTGACAGAGAGGCACAGACACAGACAGGCAGGAGAGAAGATAATGGTTCTTTTAACTTCAACGCCCTCTTATCCGGGAAGATGTAAAAAGCTTAATTTATGAGGTTATTATAAAGATATAAACTCTAACGTTACATGTGATTAGAAAAGAGCAGAGGAGCAGAATCGCTTAGAAAGTAACCTGGCTGAGGGGGAAGAGGAGGTAAAATGCTGCCTCCCATTGTTTGGGGTATGTGGCCCGGAATTCCACGTTGTACCTTTAAGCAAGATTTTGAATGCATGACTTCACTTGGAGCATGAACACACACCTACCTCCTGGTAACTTTCTAGGTAATGTTAATTCTGCGGCGCATGCACTCGCTTTTTTTCCATCCTTCTATGATCTGCTCCTCTCATTACAGTTTGGCAGCAATGAAACAATGAATAGTCACATTTAACAATCTGCGACACAAAGACAATATAACTTAACGATACTTTATCAACTTAATGCAAATTTGCGTATGGAACTATGTCGATTTGCAGTCCCTTGAAATGAAACATTACTCTTGTCAGTCATGATCTTGACCATGATGACAACTATTTGGGAGAATGCCAGGTGCAATTAATCTGGCACAATCATTGGTCAAACTCGTCTTCTTTAGCTTTTCGGCAGGCAGTTCACTGCCGCCTCCAGCTGTTAGACTTGGGTACTGCACGTGCACAATTGAACTCAGTGTTGTCAGCAGCATTTTGGGTAGTTTAGAGTGACAAATTTTTAACAGGGTACTTTGATTTCAAAATAAGTATATGCTACACAAAATCCACAGAGGTTGGCAGGTCTGCAAGGTATCTCTGACACTTGAACATCATGTAGAAAATCCATGATATCAGAGAGGTTTGGTTACTTTAAAATAAGAGCATTTTTGTTTTTCTCTTTCTAGATGCCCCAGTAATCCTACCTGAGTCCTTCTGCCACCTGATGGGGGAAGTACTAAAGTGTGTCTGCCAAGCTGAGGCATCACCTAATGCCTCTATAGGCTGGACCATTGAAGGAAATGACACCTTTCCATCCTCCTTTAGCTTTGTCTCCAGAAATAAGAAAAATGTAGTCTCAGGGGAAATAAGCGGACCAACTAAAAGCCAGCCTAACATTTCTTGCACAGCCACGAACGCACTGGGCAGCAACACCAAACAGCTCTCTGTAGACATCTTGTCAAAAACATGTACGTTACTGTACACTTACGGTAATTTGTTATCCCAAGCTACATTCAAAAGCAGAACCATTCATCATATTTACTAATTAAGCTATTTTCCTTTTACAGTCTCTTTGCCCATGTGGTTGTCAGCATTAATGCTCCTGGGGACTGCTTTGTTGTTTGGTTGTGCAGTGTTCATTTACAGAAAATATTCAAGAGGCAGGTTGGTAGACTGAATTCCTTGTCATACAGAACGACTGTGCTGCTACCGGCAGCTATGATTAATCTTTTTATTGTTGTTATATTACCCATAGACCAACACCGGAGTTTGTGTGCAACACTAACATTATTTTAAGGTATGAAACCATGTTTATAGTTGACAATGATTTATTTCAAATTTGCTGAATTCAGATCACATTTGTGTCTTTTTTTAAGGTCACAAATTTTATTAGACAATGTCCAACAGGAACAAGTACAGTGGGTACGGAAAGTATTCAGACCCCTTTAAATTTTTCACAATTTTTTTTAATTGCAGCCATTTTCCAAAAATCAAAAAAGTTCATTTTATATCTCAGTAATGTACACTCAGCACCCCATCTTGACAGAAAAAAAACAGAAATGTAGAAATTTTTGCAAATTTATTAAAAAAGAAAAACTGAAATATCACATGGTCATAAGTATTCAGACCCTTTGCTCAGTATTTAGTAGAAGCACCCTTTTGATCTAATACAGCCATGAGTCGTTTTGGGAAAGATGCAACAAGTTTTTCACATCTGGATTTGGGTATCCTCTGCCATTCCTCCTTGCAGATCCTCTCCAGTTCTGTCAGGTTGGATGGTAAACGTTGGTGGACAGCCATTTTCAGGTCTCTCCAGAGATGCTCAATTGGGTTTAAGTCAGGGCTCTGGCTGGGCCATTCAAGAACAGCCACAGAGTTGTTGTGAAGCCACTCCTCCGTTATTTTAGCCGTGTGCTTAGGGTCATTGTCTTGTTGGAAGGTAAACCCTCGGCCCAGTCTGAGGTCCAGAGCACTCTGGAAAAGGTTTTCGTCCAGGATATCCCTGTACTTGGCCGCATTCATCTTTCCCTCGATTGCAACCAGTCGTCCTGTCCCTGCAGCTGAAAAACACCCCCACAGCATGATGCTGCCACCACCGTGCTTCACTGTTGAGACTGTATTGGACAGGTGATGAGCAGTGCCTGGTTTTCTCCACACATACCGCTTAGAATTAAGGCCAAAAAGTTCTATCTTGGTCTCATCAGACCAGAGGATCTTATTTATCACCATCTTGGAGTCCTTCAGGTGTTTTTTAGCAAACTCCATGCGGGCTTTCATGTGTCTTGCACTGAGGAGAGGCTTCCGTCGGGCCACTCTGCCATAAAGCCCCAACTGGTGGATTGCTGCAGTGATGGTTGACTTACTACAACTTTCTCCCATCTCCCGACTGCATCTCTGGAGCTCAGCCACAGTGACCTTTGGGTTCTTCTTTACCTCTCTCACCAAGGCTCTTCTCCCCCGATAGCTCAGTTTGGCCGGACGGCCAGCTCTAGGAAGGTTCTGGTCGTCCCAAACGTCTTCCATTTGAGGATTATGGAGGCCACTGTGCTCTTAGGAACCTTAAGTGCAGCAGAAATTTTTTTGTAACCTTGGCCAGATCTGTGCCTTGCCACAGTTCTGTCTCTGAGCTCTTCAGGCAGTTCCTTTGACCTCATGATTCTCATTTGCTCTGACATGCACTGTGAGCTGTAAGGTCTTATATAGACAGGTGTGTGGCTTTCCTAATCAAGTCCAATCAGTATAATCAAACACAGCTGGACTCAAATGAAGGTGTAGAACCATCTCAAGGATGATCAGAAGAAATAGACAGCACCTGAGTTAAATATGAGTGTCACGGCAAAGGGTCTGAATACTTATGACCATGTGATATTTCAGTTTTTCTTTTTTAATAAATTTGCAAAAATTTATACATTTCTGTTTTTTTCTGTCAAGATGGGGTGCTGAGTGTACATTACTGAGAAATAAAATGAACTTTTTTGATTTTTGGAAAATGGCTGCAATGAAACAAAGAGTGAAAAATTTAAAGGGGTCTGAATACTTTCCGTACCCACTGTATACAACAGTCCTCAAAGTTAAATCTCAAACTATTTTATTCTCAATTTCAGTACAAACATTTGGCTT